CGCACTTTGCCGTCCGGGCCGCCAAGGTTGGGGAGGAGCCGGCCAAGCTTGGCCGCTCTCACTCCCGCCCTGCTTGCGGCTCTGGCAAGGTGGCTCGCAAAGCTCCATCGGTCGTCGAGGATCAACCCGAGATAGTTCATCTCGTGGCCGATCCTGACGAGAGCCGTACCCACAGCCAGGGTGAGTCCCTCGGGCGGCGCGCCGCGTGCTCCACGTCTTTTACCGTGGAACATCACGGCCTCGGTCTTGCCGAGTGCCACCTCGAGGCCCAGGCTGCGGATAGAGTCGACTATCGCTCCCGCTGCCACTCGCCCCCTGGCGAGGGCCTCCTCCCAATCGCGGCCCCCGGCTGTCACGAGTGTGTCGTCCGCGTAGCAGACGGGGGGGAGGGGAACACGCAGCACCGAGTCGTACCCCAGGTTCCACAAGAACGGTCCGAGAACCGATCCCTGGGGCACAAGATATTAATACACCTAGACACCGAAAACTACGGTATTAATACACCTAGACTTATTCAAACTTGGCGCGAGACGCTACGTGAGATACGCGACAGCAACGCCAATGCCACGTTGCGGCAAAAAAGTGAGATGGATTTTGGTCTGGTTGACCACGACGACGACCACGACGACGATGACGACGTTTCTTAAAAAAAAAATTACGTGAAAATTCAGACCCGTGGACTTTGCATCGCAATATCTCTACTCATGGGGCACGTAGGACAAAAGTAAAAAAATACTTTTATTATGCAAATCGTACCCAAGCTATCGATTAACCGCAGTCTCAACTTCGTCGGAACAGCCGTTGTTGAGATCCGAAATTCTGAGGGCCCGTCAACTCGTGTACTCGCGTAAACTTACACGGTCGGTCTCGCGCGCGCGGTACTAGCCGCGCTTACACTTGGCGCGAGACACTACCGTGTCTCGTGATCAAATATTAATTCTTTTTTTGTATTATTTCTTTTAACATGTTTTCTTTTTGTTGCAGATAATTACATCGCCAAGTCTATAGAAAAGTCTATAAAAACTTTTTAATACATTGCGTCAATATGCTACAATTTAGGGTGGCATCACATGGAGCATAACTTGCGTAAGTGTAACCTGCGTATCACCAATCACAGGGTCATTCCAATAGAACCGTTTCAATAATTCCGTCGAAATGGTTCTGTGATTGGTGATACGCAGGTTACACTTACGCAAGTTACGCTCCATTTGATGTTACCCTCACTCAAAAAAAAGAATTACTGCAATAGCCAATTTTTATTGGCTGTATAAAAGTTTTTTTGCTTCAACCATTTAATTTTTGAAGCAGTAAATTGCAATGTGAATCTATGATTTCAGATAGACCAATACAACCAACTTTTAAAGCTAGTAAATAATTGGCTGCATTAGGCAATTTCTTAGCTGTGGTAGCGTTACCAAGTAGGTTGATAAGACAGTTGGCCGGGCTAGCCAACTCAAATTTGTCGTGCAAGCCACAACAGCTTGTGGCGAATAGATAGCACTAGTACCACATACTGCCGCGACGTGGCGACCGGCGCGTCTTTCTCGTAAGTAAAAATCGTCCTGTATTAGTATAAAAGGCAGTTCAGGAATTGGTGCTGCTACGCCTGTCCACCTGGCTCAGCTTGGCGCGTCGCTGTCGCTAAGCGGGCGCAATAAGCAGAATTTGAACAAGGTGGCCGAGCAGTGCGGCCAGTCGAAGCCGTTTATCGTGACGGGGGAGCTGACCAACGAGAGCGACGTGAAGAATATCATCAACGCGACGATCAAGCACTACGGCAAATTGGACGTTCTAGTTAACAATGCTGGAATTCTGGAATCCGGTAGTATAGAGACCACAAGCCTGGAACAGTACGACAACGTTTTCAACATCAACGTTCGCTCGGTGTACCAATTGACAGCACTGGCGGTGCCACACTTAGTCAATACGAAAGGCAACATTGTTAACGTCACTAGCGTAACCGGATTACGATCTTTCCCGGGTTGCCTGGCATACTGCATGAGCAAGGCGGCCGTGGATCAGTTTACGCGTTGCGTCGCCCTGGAATTGGCACCAAAACAGGTGCGCGTGAATGCTGTGAATCCCGGTGTTGTAGTAACAAATCTCCACGAGAGCAGCGGAATGAGCAAAGAGCAGCTCGCGAGCTTCTTCGAGCACAGTAAAGAGACGCATGCCCTCGGAAGAACGGGCGACGTCACGGAAGTCGCAAAGACCATTGCGTTTCTGGCGAGTGACGACGCTAGTTTCATAACAGGAGCGACGTTACCTGTGGACGGAGGTAGACATGCCATGTGCCCTCGCTAAAGGTCTTGTATTACCCTCACAGATGATACATGGTATATTTTTTTATATAGTCTACAACATATACAGTACATTAAGCTACATGTAATATTTGCGTTCTGCCAGGCAATTCCAAGAAAATGCATTGGAAAGTATTTTGAATTTAGATATATCGTAATTGTTACATATATTTGCTATGGGGAGGGGGTAAAGATGGCGAGGTGGAAAGAAGTTCAGTGAGAAGGTGTCGTGAATAGAGTGTCGAAAGGAAGGATTGGAACGGAGTATGAGGAAGAAGGAAGGAGCGTTGGAGAGAGGAACGAGAGAGGAATCAGGGGACATGGAGGCGAAAGAAAATAGTGGAAGGCGGAGAAGAAATCGGAGTGGAAAAAGTGAGATGGCATGAGTCGGCAGTCTTGGAGCGAGGAGAGCAGAGGGGAGAAGGGAGCGGAGGAACGAGAGCCGATATGGAAAAGGAAGAGGATTGGTCGGGAGGATCGAGAGATCGAAAGATCGAAAGTCGATCGGCGAGGGTGCAGGAAGAGGGAGCTGACGGACCGAAAACGGACGGCAGCGGAGAAGGGAGCTGGAGGACCGAAAACGGACGGCAACGGAGAAGAAGGTGTACAAGAGTACAGGTGACGGGCGGTGAAGGTGGCAAGGCACAGGCAGAGAAGACAGAGGAGAAGAGGAAACGGAAAAGGAGCGGAGACGAGGAGGAGAAGGAGAGGCGGCGGAGGAGAAGAGAGAAGAAC